ACGATCTTTTGAGGTCAGATCTGCTTCACCAACCAGTAGATCTAACCTTCTAACACTCGAAAGTCACGTAAAGGTTCAAACTTTACGTTCATGCAATGCTTATAAGACCAAAAATGGAGAAATAACCTTTAAAATGGGGTTCTACTCTCAAGGCTCACATGAAACCTCATAAAGCTGGAAGCTTGGGACCTTTTGGACCTCTCAAGGTCCAGATCCATCATCTATACCCAAAGGGACCTCATATGCTTCACAATCTAACTCAAAATTATGCAAAGGAAACCCTAGATTCAAGGAATCTATCAAATACACGAAATGGGAAGGAACTTGTACCTCAAAACGTGAATCTCAGTGTGAACAACACAGATCCAAGCTCCACAATCGATCTAGCTTGGATTTTCCCACTCCTTCTTGCAAGATCACACCAAAGGATGAAGAATTAGCCTCCAAAATGCTCTCTCAGCTCTCTTTGCTCTCTAGGGTTTTTCACAGGGGAGTAGTGGTTGCAATTGACGGCCATAAGGGCCTTTAAATAGGGCTCAGGCCCTGAGGTTTAGGGTTTCACTTTATAGCGCGGACTCGCCGAGTCCATGCATCGACTCGTCGAGTCCGATCATTAAACCATACAAGAATTCGTGATCCTACTCGGTGAGTCTGAGCGCCTACTCGCCGAGTCCCTCCCTAAAACTCAAGATAAATACTTAAAATAAGATACCTGGGAATCCGGATGTTACATACGGACCAGGCTTGATTCTTATGGATCAACTCAAATCACCGAGGGGCCCAATGTTATCGTTTTTCCTATTAAGGCAAAAGGAAAGAATAAACTTTGAGTACATAATTATAACTTTTACTCATCAAATCGCACATGACTCTATGTTTTATAACATCAAGTTACTGATGCATTTACGTAACACTAATGCACAACTAACTTGCAAATTACAACTTATGTATCTCCATTTGAATAATAGAAGATATTATCATCTTAGATTTACTTGTGATTGAATCCATGAAGAAATCTCTAAGCATGGGTTTACCCAATACTTAAATTCCTATTTCCAAGTACTCATGAATATTGCAACAATCAGTATGTAGTATCTAATCTCTATAGACAATCTACAAACAATTCATTACAGTCTTAATTCACTACTTACTTCTAAAAGTATGAAAGATTATGGAATTAGAATAATAAAATTATTCAGGAAGTAAACATTCAAAGTGAAACACAATAACAAACTAATTAACTATGGTATCATACCCCTTGAATATAAATAAATTTGTATTATTTAATCACCATAACAATTACGAATTTATTCATTGTATATTGTTTCGTGTACTCAACTAACCACTTGAATTAAATAACATCAGTGATGCCTTGTTCTAAACATGCATAATATGCCTCATTATGGTTCTTCTTTTGTGAGCAGATTGACTAGACATTACTCCAATGATGCTCATTTCAGATTTTCAAATTCTTATCCTTTATCTAAGATGTAATGGAATTTCATCTTTACATGCATTGACCTTCTGTGATGTCGTGGTTTTAAAGTCACAGAGACTGAGCCTTCGTTATTACAGAATGTTCCACTGAAATTTGTTTACTTGAACCAATTCGATGGTAATGATGTCTCAAATTCAAGGTACACTCCTTGAACACTTCTCTTGCATTAAAGTTTCCAACCCACATGTAGATTTTATAAGCATCTCCCATTATGGAAACATTTTCATATTCCCATATGACCATAAATTCTGAAAAAGAATTATCTCAATCCAAAACGTGTCACTATGGTCTGTCCTAAATAATATCATACTTTTAATTGTCGACAAGCAAAAGTCTTTGGTAAAACCTTAGAATGTTCTTGACAGTTGTTTAACAACTTCAATCACACCAAATTCTAATCATTTTCTCACAATGCCCAAGGCAAAGTACATAGTGTGGCATATGTGATCGATCCTATATCTGAAGCATATGGGACTCGACTCATTATTACCTGTACAAGGATTTAATATATGTTCATTTTCTTGCTATAATATTTCTATATGTGGAATCTCCTATGTTGAACCATTTCAACATGATATTCATATATGTCTTTGACTAAGTTCTATTAAAATATACAATCTAAACCTTTAGATTTGAAATAAAGTATGAGTGTCCTCTCCCCAACTATACTATAGCGAAATAATTCTCGAACCTTGCAATTGGCAAATTAGAGATATCGTTTCATACGAGCAGTATTTCCAACATGCAATACTACCATAACAATTATGTTCCAACTAGCTTTGACTTGTACCTAGAAATCAAATGGACTTCAAGAAATCAATACCCTTTGACTTTCATATAGATTAGCATATTTATGTTATGTGATGCTTCGTTAAGTCTCTGACTATACTTCTCAAGCTTATACACCTTAGTTGGATAATGTGTGTGTTGGATTAAGGTGTCTAAGCTCATAACTAAATTTGGTATAAACTTGTAATTAGAAACAAAGTCCTTTTGGGTTGCCCTAATAACTAGAACTTGGTTAGAATGCCATTTGTAGACAGAGGATAAACTTATTAGTTTATTATATGATTAATAAATTGTAGTAAATGATTTTTTAATATATTATATAATTAATATATTAATTGGAAATAGATAGTTTAGCATAAAGAGAAGTTTGTTGTTATTTCTTAAATTTAGTCTTTACCAAATATGCAGTAAAATTGCCAACCTAAAGTGACCTTAAGGTTGGTTATAAGCTATGCCATCTATCATGCAAGAAAAAAAAAGTAACACGATCAAAATAGAGAGCAACTCTTTTAGTAAAGACTCATCTTTTTGCAACAAGTTCATGTATTATGAAGTTAAGTTTGATAGCCACGTACTTCCATTTGGTTGTCTGTTAAAGGAAAAAATATCATTATAGCACAATAAACTATCATGTTTTGTCCAATTTGGTCATTATTGTTTTTTTTTTCGCAATAAATCATTAAAGTTACATTTTTGGTATCTAACTACATTGTTTTCATCGATTTGTTAGCATTTAATAATTAAGATATATATTTTGCAAAAGCCACGTGATACTTATTTTATTATTTTTTTAATTAAGAAAATTAAAATAAATACTGATAAAAGTTAGAACTCATCTAAATCAATTCCCCCATTACTTCCTTTATGCTCAACCCATATTAACCTCTTAACCCTAAATCACAGAGCTACAGTCGCCATCCACCAAACCACCATCATCGGACTACCACTGATCTTCGTTTTCCCGAAGAAGAGAAATTGTTGACGTTGCCTTAACTTTTTCCGTTGACAAGATGTTACCTTCCATGGAAATGATGTCGTCGCCTTGGTTATTTCCGGTGACCGTCTCCTTCTCCATTCTTGTCCCACCCACCCTCGTACTATTTCATTACCGCCGGTGACCGCTTTCGGTGATACACACCATTGAAGCCCACAATCACCCACAATTGGCATATCAGTAATCGCGACCTCCATCCCTGATGATTGACGTGAATCATAGCCACCCTAACCGTGGCAATCATATTAGAATTCCTGTGAATTAGATACTTCCTCTGATTTTTTGACACTCTATTCGAAAGTCATTTCAGGAACCTCGTGAATCGGATCCACCACCACCATCGGCATATAACTAAAATCTTTGGATTTCCAAAAATATGTTATAGTTTCGGTATTGGATTTTGATTTTCATTTATTGTTTGATTTGGTTTTGGTTCATACATTAGTAGTACGTAGTTGATTCCTATATTATACTATTTTTCTATTTCCAGAAGGTTTTGTTTTGATTTCATCACATTTGATTTTGATTTCATTAGGTCTGGTTTTGATTGTTATCATATCTAGTTTTAATTTTCATTTGCCTTGGTTTTGTAGTAACTGATATAGGTTGTCGGAGGAGGTTACATGCGGTGGTTGTTGGACATGAAAGAGATGAAGTGGATTTGATTTTGATTAGTTTTTGTTTTGATTTTGGTATCATTTGCTTTGGGTTAGTAGTAACTGATGGTGGTTGTTGGAGGTTACCGATGGTGGTTGTCGGAGATGAAAGTGATGAGCTATCACTAGATCTTATTAGTTGTTACATAGAAGGAAGAAGAGGGGTTGTCTCCATGTCACGGTGGAGGAAACAGTTAGTAAATGGATATAACATTTTTTATTTTTTATTTTTAAATACAAACGCTTACATGGCAATGATGTGGCCCTATTGTCTCCATGTCACCAGTGCCAATTAAGCATGGTAACCTACAAACCTGTAATGATCCCTTATTTAACAGTTAAAATGTAACTTTAATGACATATTATGCAAAAAAAAAAAAAAAAAAAAAAAAAAAAAAAAAAAAACCAAATCGGACACAACATGATAGTTTATTTTGCTATAATGACATTTTCCCTCTATTAAAACATGGTACATTTATATCTTCCTATAACACTATTATACTCGGTGACTTTTTTCCTGTTATTTTTATGAAATTTGTTGTAACACAATATTTATAAAATTAGTCCCAGGCGTAGTCCGGGTTCATCTCATAGTTAAGATTGAATAAAACTTCAATGGAAGGGGTAGAAGAAGCTTATAACATGATGGAGAAGAAAACGTTGATGAAATGAATAAAAAGCACATCCTAATTGCTTTATCGTAGCGTTACATGGAATGTTCTAATACAACTCAAAAATCCGTTAAGGCCTTAATAACATGAAAAACTTCATAATTAACGGTGTGACTTGACAACTAAGTAGTCACCTTAATAATAGAGAAATTTTGGCTCCCCATAATAAAACGGCAACAATTGTTAATTGTTTAAGAAAAAAGTTACTTATGAGGAAACTAAAATAAAAAGTTGCACGGTAGAAAATGCACCGTTTTTTAGAAAATGGTTGCATTAACTTTAGCAAAATAATTCAAATGAAAATTAAGGTTTACGATCATTATCATTAGGTTAGTACAAACTTTCATCTTTTTAAGTTGATAAAACTGAAACATCAATGATATGATTGAATAAACCGCTAATTAATATACAATATTGGTTGTATTTCCCTTCAGATATATACCAATAGACTTGTTTTATCAACTTACAAACTTCCATTTAGTTTAGTTTACATATGAATATTGATCGCCATGTGATCATCATGTATAAAGCCTGATCCGGGAGCTGATTTGTTGGCGACATATGTGACAGCGACTCAACCTTGATCCACATTCTCTACAAGCCTATTGCAATCATGTACATTATTAAATTACATGATGACAAATCAATCTATGAAACAACTCTGCCAACCCATTAGTGCTTTGCGACTGACAGTTTCAGCAACAACAAGAGGTTTGTGTGTATAAATTAATAATGGGCAGAATGCATGCCACAGCATGATGTGCGACCCTTTCGAACAAAACTTTTTGGGTTGCAGTTATTTTCTGGTGATGAAATCGTTTTTTTTTTTTTTTTTTTGTGTAGCTAGTGTACAAAACTGGAAATATAAAAGTAAAAAAGAACACTGCGACTCACCATGTGTCCACATCCAAAGGCCATATCCTTATCGTTTGTGAGACAGATTGGGCATGTCTTCACCAAATTAGAATAAAAGAAAGAAGTCAAGTTTTGGGATACAATATATCAATATAACTAATGTAGTAATGTAGAGTGAAATTAAATGGTATAACCTTGTTATCATCATCTTGTTGTGTAGGCAATGTGCTGTTCATACGAGGAACATGAGTGCTGCCTCTTGGACGTGGAGGTGGTCGTGGAGATATTCTCATTGTGTTCCCAGTCACTCGTCTTATTTGATCCATGCAAATTAACAAGAAAACAGTGTTGTGGATGTCATATATATCTACTGAAAAATGTACAAGAAATTAAGTATTCAATTTGGTTGTATTTATCATGTTTATCTTTTGTGTCATATATATTCCTATAGATTGAAAAGTGGAGAAGAAATAGAACACATCATAAATTGGATGGTCTATACATACCCAAGTAAGCCAAGTTCAGTTACTGCCATATATTGTATGGGAATTTCCATAAGGGCAGCAAGTGCGAAAGCTGCTTCTTTATGAGGTGGACTTATATCTTTGGACATGATACCCGTAAAATTAACAAACTGCAGATAAGAAGGACAAATAGATATGAGTTTGGCTATTATGAGGTAGTCAAATCGACTAAATTCATCTTCAAAGTTGATAATAGTTTTTGGAATTTTTTAGGAAATCCTAAGCACAAAAGTAACGCATGTGTATATATACCTGAAAATTATCAAATCCACGAGTAGGAAGCTTGTCATCAAACTTTCTCATGTCGTCCCAAGGACCATCTCCAACACCAACAAGAATGATCACGAGAGGATACAAACTGATCAAAAAGTGTAACTATGATCAATTTAAAATCTTATACTTCTCTGCATCCATGATTTTTTTATTGACTAAAGAATTTTAAACACAAAGACAACTGTAATTAGATATTAAAGAAGTATGGATGAATGCATTTTGAGTTTTAGCTGACAAAACTTTGAGGAATTGGATTATCAATCGAAGCAGTACCTTGCTTCAACAATTGCACTAATTGTTTTCTGCTCCTGTAAACTGACTTCTCCATCACTTGTATTAACACTTCTTGTAACCTTTTTTCAAGAAGAATTTATATCACTATATTGTATTTTCCTGGAAGGAAACTTGGAGGTGATGTTTAAATTAAAACTGACCTGTCCATCTGCTATGATAACGAGAATATGGAATTGGCCTCCACTTTTCTCTACTATATTTATGGCAGCATTCACAACGGGTGCATAAGATGTTGGCCCTTTAAACAAAATCCAGTTTTATGAGCTTTCCATCCATATAAGTTATAACTACTATATATGTTTGAGCTTAGGAATCAAAGCATAACAAAGTATTTACCTGCCAACTGTACATTTTCCACCACCCTCTTGTAGCATGTTAAGACTTCTTCAAATCCATGACAAGGGGAACCGTCTTCATGAAAGTTAAATACTTCTTGATCATGTGTTGTTGCTAGGAAAAAAAACAAAGAGAGAGAGAGAGAGATTGTTTAGATGATTAATTAGTGAAGATTTTGAAATTGTGATGTTTTGATTTTGCGTGTAATTAAACTTACAGTCTCCAAACCCAAAACAAGGAATCAAGTTGTCATCATCAAAAGGAGCGAGTGTCTCTCCAATGATGGATATGGCCTTCTCGTAGGGATTAGGAGAATCAGTGATGGCATGAAGGCTGCGATTATTGAATGAAACTCTACCTATCATAAACAAAATCTAGCTTTAGCTTACATATATAATCACACACATTCACATCTATATATGCCTCTTATTTTTAGTTAACTTTATTAACTTTACTCTTAATTTGACCCATTATAAATAAAATACAATTCGTAGTGATTCATTTTAGATAAATGAATTACAAAACTGAGAGTATTAGCAACCTGTCCATTCATTACTCTTAGTAAAATCTATTCCAAGGATAAGATTAGAAGACTCTAACCCAGATGCTCTTAATGCATCTGTAACCTGCATAATGAAATCTGAAAACGTAAGGAATTTTTCAATGGCCATTGTATACATTTACTGAGTTTTTGTAAAAGAGGACATTAGTAACCTAATAGTTGACCAAATTAAACAATCTGATTTAATTAATTAAGGAGAAGGAACCTGTTCTAGTGAAGAATAGTTGTCTGGGATGTATGCATACTTGTTCTTGTCACTTTTTCTAGATTTTGTAGAAATAGAAGTAGAACGTTTCATTTTAAGAAAGGATGATTGTCGTTGAGATAAGGACCTGTTTCTTGGTGCTGATGATGGTGATGGTGTTTTTCTTGCTGCAACAAGAACCCGAGTTAGAAGATTTCCCATAATTATTTTTTTTCTGTAATTTCACATTTTCAGTCACCTCTGTCCATGGTCTTTTTATTAATGATTCTTTGGTTACTTTCTCTGTAGTTTCACAAAATCCATGCTCATATCTTTTGCCTTCAAGTTAATTCTTATGTGGCTTTACTTGGTCATTTATCACTTTAACTTTTCTTTTCATGGGAGAATATTCTTAAATTATTGTCGTGGTTGATAAATGTTTCTTAGCGTATGGACTCAGGAAGCATATATTCATATTCTGCTTACACTTTGAAGCATTGCATATATAGAAATTTCCACTACGTTTCCTAGATGATGATGTCTTTTTATTGTACTTAGACCATGGATGACATGCATACCATCATCAATCCATAAAATGTTTCGCTAATTAATAATTCCAAAAAAGATTAGTCAAAAAATTATTGGATCATGCCATCATGGTATCCGAGATGATGAGTATCCGACACCAACATATTTTTGTAATCAATTTTTTCTTAGTTTTTGCTTTTAATGAGAATTTTAAATTTATGCTTACAGTTTGAGTTTATTAATCCTATATGTACAAAAGGTTAATTTTGACCAAAAAAAAAAAAACAATAGTCAAAATGTAAAAATCTTATTTTCAATTGAACAAACTAATGCAAAAGGTTATTTATGTAATATATCAGGACACTAATACCAGCCCAAATGCCCAATAAACAACAAATAACAAAAGGTGTGTTTGGTAACAATTTCACTTCAGGTCCCTGAACTTAGAAAACATTTTTATTTTGAACCTAAAAACTTGGCAAAAGCCCAAGTCTGAGTCGAGAGAGAAAGGGAAGGTTGTGCAAAAATGGGGGAGCATGTGGAAGCAGACAACGCAGAAGCCATCATCACAAGGATCGAACACAAGTCTCGCAAGATCGAGAGTTTACTCAAACAGTTAGTGCACTACAACCCTAATTTTCATAACAAATTTCAACTTTCCCCAATTTATCAAAGCCCTAATAGTCGATTGATCGTGATCGATTAGGTACAAGCCAGTAGAAGCCCTCAAAACTGCTCTGGAAGGATCTCCCCCCAAGACGAGAGATGAACGATGCAAGGTTTGTTCTACCGAAAATCCATGATAGAAAACTGAAATTTGTAATATGTAATCATTCATTAGCCGATTATCGTCGATTTGAGTGCTAAATTGTTTATGTAGTCTGCAAATTGGATTGTGGTGCATAGAGCGTTAATGGCGATAAAAGATGTGGATTTAATGTTCACCTCTTTGGATCCCGAGTACTACGATATTCTCATGAAGTTAGTACCTGGTTTCTTCATCTCCTGCATTCTGTGTTTTTCGTTTCATGCTCTTTGATTCTGAATCTGAGCTCTTGTTTGTATAATTCAACAGGTACCTGTATAGAGGATTGTCAACCGGCGATCGGCCCACCTGTGACCAATGCCTACGGATTCATGAAAAGCTTACACACAAAGCTGGTCTTGGATGCATTCTTCGTGCACTTAGTGATACTGTAAATACTGTTTGATTTTTACAATGCCAATCATCATCATAAACCAGCTTATTGTCTAAGAATAAATCATGATTTTTGTTCTTGTTTCCATTTTTCTCCTACTCATCATATTTCACAAGAAAATATGCATCGTGTTATTTTGAAAATATGCTTCTGTGTAAAATTGTCCAGTTCGTTGTTTGTTGTTTTCTGTCAGTTTACAGTTTTTGGATTATAATGGAATTCAAATTCATATAATTATGCAACCAAACTGGGAATTCATCCATCGGAATTGAATTCAGATTCCAAGAAATCTCCTGTAATCATCGAACCAAATGCCCCATGATTTAGAGCCTTTCTAATCAGAGTTTTTTCAAAACCTGAAAATTTTGCATTTATGATTCACCCCATAAAATGGTTTTTTATGATATAGATTTTATTAACGATTATTTTGGTTTTATGCATTTAACCTCTTTTGTTCAATAATTTTTCATTTTACTCATCTAATTATATTCAAGCTTCAAGTCTTTCTTATTTTTAACTAATTAATTTATTTCATTTTGATCTATAATATCTGAAATTAGATTCGTAAAGGTTATCTTTTTTTTTTTTTTTTGCCCGTATTATAACATACTCTTTTCCTTAGATGTTATTGTTGGGTAATATTCTTTTTCCTTAAAAAATAATGTACGTTTAAGAGTGACAAATTAGATGAGAAAATTTAACAAAACAAAATTAAAATACTACACTAAATTAATTAATTAAAGAAAAGGCTTTTAGGAATTGTCAAGGATTACAGAAAATTTATGATAATAGAATTTTTTAAACAAAATTAATGACAAAACAAAAAAGAAAAGATTATTTGAATGATCAATCTAAGAAATCAGATACATAAAAAAAAAAAAAAAAAAAAAAAAAGCGATAATTAGTGTTAAAACTGATTGCCATCTCATGTAATTAACCCATATACATAAGTTTATAAGCCGATATTATAAATAATATCAAGCTAAAATACTAATTTTTATAGTATTTTAGTGATCAAGTTTAAAATTGTTAAAAAAAAACAATTGAAATTTGCTTTACTCTTTTACTTTTAGAATAAAGTTTGAAATACATGTAACATGTTACAATTTCCAATAGCAACTTCATCATGTATACAGAATACCCATGAAAAAAACATGTTTAAAAAGTAAATGAAATTTATTTATGACTACATATAGGGGTTAGGTAAACCATAGTAACCTTGAGCTGCAACTGGTGGGTAGTACATAGGACCTGCCATCAATGCTGCCGTTTCATCAACCCTGTAAACACAACACAAATTTGGCAAATTAATTCTTATTAGGACATTCTACTTTTAAACCTACCAATTTGGCAAATTTTTCAAAGAATATAATTTATAATTTTTTTATGGAAAGTACATTGCTATTTCTTGAATACAAGATGTTTCAAATCAAAAAACTTACATAGACTGCTGACCACCAGTTTCCTGCATCATCTGAGTGTATATGTACTCATCAACTCTCTGCTTTGCCAAAGCAACCTATTTCACATCAACTTCTTAAACTCATTTCAATCAAATTTGTAATATAAAAATATTAATCTTATTTTGATATCTAAAAGTTGCAATTTTTTTAAAGGAATCACCAACCTGCTGAGCACTACCACCCAAGTGAATTTGTCTATGTTTGTTTTCACCTTTCCCACCATGAACCTGCAAGACACGAGACATCAAATAAATCAAAATTAAAACAAATTTTGATTTTTTTTTCTCCTTTCAGTAACGATTAACATTTAACAAAAACAACAGGAACAAAACCTTAATAGTTGCTCCTGACTCTGTTCTGATCCGAGATATGTTTGAACCACATCTCCCAATTAATCCACCAATGAATGTCTCAGAAATCATCATCTCCAGAGTTACATATTCAGCTGAAAGGTAAATAATAGATTCAACATATTGTTTTCTTAGCCAGTAGAAATGGGATGCAATTATATAACCTGAAGACGGGTCCACATATTGTTGAGTTGGACGATGAGTGAAGCCAAGATTATAAGTTGGACTGATGGAGATTATTTGCTTAGGTGGATTATCCCTAATATGAAAATAAAATCAAATTAATTAACTATAACTAAATCTAAATCCACTCGATAAAAAAAGAATTCCTCAAAAACCCAAACCTCAACTGGCATCCGATCTCCACCAAAGCCCTCAACACTGCAGGAACATCTCCAGATATCTACATTTTCCATAATAAAAGAACAAAAAAAAATAATGATTTTAATAAAATTGCCTTAAAATATATTATAAAAATGACTACCTGAACTACTCGATCAGATTCATGAGCAGATGCACATAATGGCAACTGATTTTGAGCAAGTACAGTAACTGTTGCACCAGAGGAGTTTCTTAGTTGACCAATGTTTTGACCAGATACCCCAATCAACCCGCCAGCTTGGCACCCAGAAATTAACAGTCTTATAGTATTTGCTGCCACGTGTCCTGTTGCAATTTTCAATCCTTCAACATTTTGATCATCCTGCAATGAATAGTCATTACATCAGTAGAAAACAGGTAAGAAAAGGTAAAACAGGAACTAAAAGGACTGAAAAAAGAAAAAGATGAAACACCCACATGCAAAACTATAAGGAGGATTTAGAAGCTAAAGAAAGTGACATCACATGAGACAAAATTCAAAGTTATCAACACATAAACATGCTTGCATAAATAAAGAAACATACTCTCCTATAGTTTAACATTTCTACCATGATTTAAACGAGATCAAATGGTCAAGTATTATATGAAAGATGGCTAATCTACAAAAATGTCATTTTTCTATACAAAACTTCAAAAGAATATAGAATGGATCAAGACACAAGTAAACCAACATTCACCAAGTGTTTAACTAGAAACAGGAACTTGCAACAATATTTCTATTCTGGTACACAGTGAGAGGGGGGGGGGGGGGGGGGGGCAAGGGACAGGATAAAAGGGAATGGATGGGAAGGAGGGGGAGTGAAGGGGTATGATGGGGATTGGAGAAGGAAGGAGGAAAGGAACTGTTATTTTTACCTTTGACCTCCAATTTGGTTATAATCCCACCAAGTTTTCTCTGATCTACATCTGTTCTATCAAAAATGGCCAATATTAAGAAAGGATTTATTAGATGGTAAAAAGACAAAATGTACTAATAAAAGAAAAGGATTTCCCTATAGTAATAACCCATTGATTCACAGATATTCATAGATAAATGGAATTTGTGCATCGTATATTTGCACATATTCTGACATCAAACTTAAATCGATAAAGAATCAAACTCTCACCAGAAATTAACTGATTTCTCAATAGATGACAAATGCTAGGTTTTGATTAAATAAAGGTACTAACAAAAAGGTTTGATATTACTTATACTATTTACAAAGAAAAAGTGAAATAAAGCTTTAAAACTCAAGATTAAATATCACATCACCATGAGAACCAAACTGCCAATTTTGTGGAGAGCATTTTCTGCATCAGTAAAAGCGTCTTCATTGTCTTTAGAGCTTATGATGATAACACGCTCCTCGTGTCTCTGTAATTTATGAAAAAAATAATAAATAATATAAACATATGTAGGCATGATATAAACCAAATGTGAAGAAGTATCTCTGCAGGTAATATTCTGTCAAAAAGCAAATAACTATCTTCCTAATAAGATAACCAAACTTAGGTTGCCCTTTAACACAAGATTCTAACTTGTATAAATGACTCATGGCCTTCTAGCATAAAGATTAAAACAACATTCTATAAGCAATAAACATAGTTATCTGCAAAATGCAAACTTAAAGCTAAACGATCACATCTCCACATCCACTCTATAACACTTGCTGTTCAACTAGTCTTAAGAATATATACCAATTATTACTTCATCATACATCATGTATGCTTTTTATCTCTGTTCTCAAGTAGTATTCCCCCAAATACATAGTCGTTTTATACATAATACATTAGTTCTCCATTGAATAGTTTATGTTGTTCATATAGTTCTGTAGTTTTATTGTTTAAATACTTCAAATTTAAAGCTAAACAACTTTTTTTAGACACTAATCTTAACACCAAATATATAGATAAATAAGTATACACAACCTATCCACCTTTTAGTGGTTCTACCCAAATTATAACCTAAGCATATCCCATAGATAACTTAATTCACGAGGAAGTTGACTAATTTCAGATTAAGTATGTGCATATACATTACACAGCACAACATATGAGCATATGCAGCAATTTAACTAACCGCGATGGCGTCTGCGATCTTGATAGTGGCCTTAGTTTCCTCTCGGATTTTCTGAATACGGTGTCCTCCTCTACCAATTACCTTCCCAATCTGTTTCGATGGCAACAATATCCTGAACAAAATATCCTGCCCTAACACTGCCCGACGCTTTATTGGCTGCAATTCCGCGCAAGTTAACGATCCCTCAAACTCCTCCTCGCGGTAACGCTTCGTTGATGGAGGAGCAACCGCCGATGAGGGAGGCCGTGGTGCGCGGGTTCCGCCTTCTTCGTGTACCATTGTTAAAAGCAAAGAGCTGTTTATTTTGGTTGCTGTCGCTGAGACTTTTTTTATCAGGAGCATCTAATATTATGCTCAATATGACTATTAAGCCCTCATATTATTATATTTTTGTCGAATTGAGTACTAACCATTATAAATGAATGATTTAATAAAAAGACAAAACTTCAAAAATGGTCCCTGTGGTTTTTGAAAATATCAAGTTTAGTCTCTAAGTTTAAAAAACCTCACAGATGGTCCCTATGGTTTCAAAACTTTTAATGTTTAGTCATTCCGCCTAACTCCGTTAGCTTTCTACCGTTAAGTGAGGGGTATTTTCGTCATTTCAATATCCGGGGACCATTTATGAGGTTTTCTCTTATTATCTTAATTTTTTTATTAAAAAAAAAAAGAAAAAATGAAAGAAATTTGATCTCTCTCTCTCTCTCTCTCTCTCTCTCTCTCTCTCTCTCTCTCTCTCTCTCTCTCTCTCTCTCTCCTCCCTCTCTCTTCTCACACTTCTCTCTCTCTCTCTCTCATCTCTCTCTCTCCCACCCCTGTTACAAGACTTGTACAATACGTATTCTTATACCTTCATCTTCCCCAAAAAGCCAAACCAACTTTGACCTTGAATAATCATCGTATCCATCAGATTGGGCAAGGAACAGACGAACGAAAGGCAGATCGATGGGAGGTCCCGTGCGGCTAGGAAATCACGAGGAGGGAAAAGGGTGTCCGTCAAGACCGATAACCCCTTGTTGGTTTACGTCTCTTCTTCATTGATCGGGAAAGGGAAGAAGGAACACGAATGGAAGCAGTCAAAATGGTGGTCTGATGGTTAAATAGATCGCAAGAAGGGAGTCGATCTCCGGCAAACTCCCCTTGGCTCTTCTCTCGTCGTCGACGATCACAAATCGAGGGGAATGGGAAACACTGGATCGAATGGAGAAAGAAGAATGGAAGCAGAGGTGGTTCGGTGGGGGGTTTGGACAATCGCCAAAATGAAGGAAGAAAACGAAGGCAACTTATGATGTTGGGTGACTGTTACAGCAAGGGGGTTGCTCCGGTGGCCTCCTTGGTTGTTCCTTCTCTGTGGGAGGAAGGGAAGGAAACAGCGAAGTAGCAGCGGAGGGAAGCAGCGATCCTCAGGGTGTTTGGTTGTTTCCGATCAACAGGAGGAGGGGTGGAGGAGGGTTGTCCCCATTTCGTCTTTTGGCTGCTCCGGTGACTAAAACGGAGAACCCGTTTCTTGATTTTGTGAATGATTTCATTGGGGTTGCTAATCGATTTCATGTCTGCTACCCAGGCTCAATTTCTTGGTGAACTTTTAGGGAGGAAGAGAAGGATGGGATGGGGATCGGAGTGTTTACCAGAGGAACCGGTGGTAGAATTTGGTGGTGACAAAACGGTGAGTAACGACGCGATGGTGGGGGCAACGAAGAATGATTTGATTCACGAGAGAGAGAGAGAGAGGGTGTTTAATATTAAATAATTATATTTATTTTTCTTTTTTTTAAAAAAATTAAGGCAAAACTTCATAAATGGTCATTGTGGTTGTGAAATGACAGAAATGCCCTTCACTTAACGGCTAAATGTTAACGGAGTTAGCGAAAATGATCATTTGTTAAAAGTTTTGAAACCACAGGGACCATCTGTGAGGTTTTTTGAACTTAGGGACTAAACTTGATATTTTCGGAAACCACAGGGACCATTTTTGAAGTTTTGTCTAATAAAAATAATCAACTTATTTCAAATTTGGAAATATGACTATTCTCTTTGGAATTAGGCCATTACGAAGTAGTGATGTTCATTTTGGAGTTGGCAGGGTTGGTAGAGTTTGGATTCCGAAACGTGTAGTCATACATTTTGGACTGACATAGTTAATTCCGGACAACCGTAGTCAAATCTATATATGTTGGGCTAACATTTTGGATTGTGTTACAATAGTACATAATGATATTGTACTTTCCGGACGCATAATTAGGAGTTTGTGTTTGCAATTGTGGTTGTGGTTATTGAAGAGATGTTTTGAGAAGGAATCATATGTACTAGTGAAACATTAGAATTAGTAAGAATATAAGGGGATTTGATCTTAAGGGATTCTAGAGGAGGAATCATTTACACATGGTTTTAAATTTTTGTGTGATTTCTTCAATTTACCGTTGTTTTCAATTTTGCAATTAGATTTTTAATGCAATTATGTCTTTGATTGGAAGGTTTATTTTATTTATTTTTACGTACTTCTTTTATGGTGTTTTATGCTTGTTATATGCTTGATGTGGGCTAACTTACTTTATGCTTAATGTAGATGTGATATTTGGTGATGAAGGCAAAACATGGTAGTCAGTAAGATGGAGAAGGAGGAGAGTGGCGTTGGTTTTCTTAAAATGAGTGGCTTCGAGTTGGATATTTCTTAATGGCAATTAATAATCCAATATAAATTTTGTGAGAGGAAAATATTTCAATTTCGATCATAAAAATAAGATTAGGGTTTTGTTGGTTTTTGTGGGTTTGTTAAAGGATGGTGGTGGTGGTGATGATGATGATGGTGATAACGGTAGTTCATGGTGGTTGATGGTGATTGGTAGATGTTGATGGAGTAGTGACATGTTTAAGATTAAGGGTGGGGGATGCACGTGAGGGTGGTGTAACATCCGGATCGCTTGAGGTATTCTTATTTTATTTATATAATTTAATATGTTGGGTTTAGGTCACCGGGACGTGGGGGAGGCACAACCATGACGTGGCATATCTGGAATGTTCGCGGGTTCTAAATTGGTTCCCATGGCGTGGCAACATGTTGGCCACGATGTGGCGACCGTCTGATGAGAAAACCCTAATTTTTTTAGTATTTAAAGGAAAGTATAAGCTAGGCTTTGTTTACCCTCAGCCTCCATCACTCTCAAACCTCGGGACCCTAACCCTAATTCCTTTTGGTGATCTTTGAGTTCATAATGGTGATTCTTAAGCTCTCTTTGGTGTTTTGGTGCATTTTAAAGGAAGTGAAGGAAGGTTTGGAGCAAAAAGCAAGCAAGAAACACTCCCCAATCTCTGAAATCACCTTGTTGGACCATTTGTAAGGTTTATTGATCTAATATTTTAGTTTCTTCTTAGTGGATCTAAGGTTATCTTACATGTTAGAACCCTTTAGTGGATTTTGAGTGAAGCTAACAGATAAAGTTTGCAACTTTAGGATTTCTATGAGTCCCAAGATCATTATATCTCATAGATTCAGGAGTTGGTTGTGGTTTGGAAATCATGCATGAGTTTAAGTCCTTTTCATCCACATTTTTGACCTAAAATTGAAGAGGCATGCATTGGACATGCATGTCCATAAAGCACCAATCTTTATGACCCATTAGGTGAAGGAAAACCTTCTGGAAAGTTTGGAGGAGTATCTTTGGTGATTAAAGGCTTAATGGTTAGGTCTTGCTTCTTAAAGCCTTTAAGGACCTAGGTTTAGAGATCTTGTATTATTGAGATGTCTTAATAGATAAAGTTGGAAACTTTATCCATCAAGACCTTGGGAAGGATCAGATTTGGGCTTTGGAGCCCTTGGAATTTGCAGAAACCAGCTTACACGATTAAGCTGTTCAGACCAGTTCCCACGGCGTGGTCTTGGGTTTCCACGATGTAGCGACTGGGGGATTAGTCGATTGTTTTGTCGTTTTGTGCCCACGAAGTGGCCAATGGGAGGCCACGACGTGGAGGATTGTTGTTGGCAATTTTGACATTGACTTTGACCGTTGACTTTGAGGGTTGATGATAGTTTATTTTATTTCTTTTTTATAGTTTATTTTAGTCTTTTTAGCTCTTTTTATTAGTATTGCATTGTATATTCTTTATTTTCTTTAGCATGGATCCTGTCGGGTACTTTCTATTTTGCATGAGGTATTTTGCAGGGTTTTTTGGAGCTCATTGCGGTTGTAGATTAGCTTGGGGACAGGCTTTGTGGGATTTAGAGGCGTTATTAGGCTTTACGGATCCATCAAAGAAAATTTGGGCTTAAAATGTTGAAGACTTGGATGAAGTGGGCTTATAAAGATAGGTCTTGGATTCTTATTTTGGGCTTGAACTATCCACATTTGAAGCTTGAAGATGATTGGCCAAATTTGAATCATGTGAGGTATGGAGGGGACCAAGGGAATCTTGAGTAGTGGGGTGGTGTAGTGGAGAAAAAAAAAGAGCCAATAGCATTCCAGCAACACTTGCGAGGGTGGAGTCTTAGTCGCTTAACACTTGCGAGGGTACCCGCGCAACTGCACAATTTGGGGCATTTTGGTCATTTTGCTCATGATTTACTTTGGGGGTTAGGTCTAGCAGCTCATACTTCGATTTTCCACCATTAGAGAGCATTGGAGGCGATTTTTGAGAGCTTGATACACATTCTTCTCATCTTTCTACCAATTGTAAGTTTCTTGATGCAAAAACACTTTTATGATTGTTATCTTGTTGCCATGAGTGGCTAGTTTCTTTATTTTGGTTAACTTTGGCTAAAACTTTTGGATATTTGTGTGTTTTGAAGGATTCATGCTTGATTGTCATTTATTTTATGTTTATGATTCTAGTTCATATTTTTTATGTCTGTTTAATACTTTGATCATGAGTTTAGTACTTGAATGAGCAATTATTGGTTTATTTCTTTGATTTAGCATTGAATCATTGACTTTACTTAGAACAAGGGCTTTATGATGGTAGAAATCATCTCTAACTTATGGATCATAACTCCTTTATGGATGTGTAAGCATTGACATCCTCTAGGAATTGGGGATTCCTTCATTCTTAAGGCTAATCAACTTTCTTGGGTTCAATTGATTCAATTGAAGCCTTGATTTTGATTAAGAAGGTGTGTTGTGGGCTTCTCCAACCTCCATACTACCTATGAGGAATCTTGACATATCATGTTTCATGATTGCTATAACCAATTTGGGATGAATGATAAGCTTCATATTGAATCCTAATGATAAACACACAAATGCTCATTGTGTTTAATTGTCTTGGTTGACCAATTCTCTCCAATATTTGAGCATCTCACCATCTTGCTTAATTGCAAGCTTTT